TGTTTTCGTCTCTGTCAGGGTAATATCGCAGCAAAAAAGTTTGATTTAACTTAAGGAAACAACAGATGATGAGACTTTTATAAAACAAGAAATCATTAATTTGAACAAAACTAATCATTAGAATTTGTGTTTATATTTATTAATATCTCAGTCAGGGAGCTAAAACGTCCTTTATGTCTCCCTGAAATAAACTGGCATTTCAAGATGTCTGCAAAGAGTTGAACAAAATGTAAATATCCACATCTTTAGACAAATTTGGGCCATCAGAACAATTTGACAGATTAATCACATTCCACTTGTACGCTTAAGGCCTTAAATGATTATTGTAGACTGACGTGCTTCTCTGTTTCTGTTTCCCTCTCAAGGCTGAACAATGTGATTGTGATCGGAGGCAGCAGCGCTCCAATGGTCGAGGACCTCACCACCCTTCACTAGAATGTACTTGATGAACGTACCTCCTGTCGCAGCGACGCAAACAGAATGGAGAACATGTGGCCCACCTGGAGGCTATAGCCTTCCAGCCTGCTTCAATGACTCTGACACAGAGTTGTCCACCAGAGGCACACCCATCTCAGACAAGGTCCAGATGATCATAGAGAGCCTTCGGAGCACCCAGTCCTCGCTCGAGATGGGCGACGAGATCGAGGGAAATGTGCTATCAGGACAGGAGGGTCATCCCCAAGTCTGCAAGGTTGCAGTGGGTTCTTATGTGGGAGCAAAGTCCAAAACTAAAAGCCCCACTGAAAACCCGCATGCGTATATTTCCTCCCCGAACAACCACGAGAGCAGTGGCTCTGACAGTGATGATTCTGTGGACAGAGGAATCGAGGAGGCAATACTGGAATACCTGAAAGAAAAGGATGATCACAAGCGCAAGGGGGAACCATGCTCCACTTTTCTCCAACCATCCAATATTCCTAGAAAAAATCCAGCCATTCCAGAGGTTTCCAGGCAGAACTCTGACAGCAATACATTCTTGATTGCGAGTAGCCAGTTTCCTAAAAGTGTCAAAGTCGAGACCCCTGCTGCACCAGCTGGTATACCTATAAAAAAGTATATCAAAAACAAGGCGTCCCTAAATGAAAACGCATTTAAGGACTTTGAATCGAATAAAAGTTCAGCTAAAAGTTTAGTCAGTTCAAAAGAACAGACAAAGAGCCCCTCAAAATCAATCAGCCTCTTCAACAAAACTGTCAAATTACCAATCCCGATGAAAGTGAAGGAAGAGTCAAATGATTCCAGCAGTGATGACGGCATCGAAGAGGCCATTCAGAGATACCAGTTGGAAAAAAAGGTGCAGCAGAATAAAAGGGAAGTTTTCCACCCGCACGTTTTTGAAGAGGAGTCCGACTCCACGAGCGATGATGGGATTGAAGAGGCCATTCGGCGCTACCAGCTCGAGCAGCTCAAGGAGAAGAGTGTCCTGAAACCATTCCTACACAAGCAAAAACCCTTCAGCAAGTCACTAATGCATGCTGTTGGAAGCATGAACGTGGAAAACATGAAGAAACACAAGCTGAAGAAAAAACGGAGCAAAACAGAGAAAGAGATGAAATCTTTTCAACCTTCTCCTTCATCTCTTTTCATACCCAAGACTACACTTTCAGAAAGCTCCAAAAGCAAAGGAAATGGAGTACTTTCGTTTAAAGCAGAAAGCTTTAAGGAGCAACCAGCCCCTGCACCTTCAAAGGTGAATACAAGTGCAGAACTCATGTGCGCTGAGGCAATACTGGACATTTCAAAAACTGTGATGCCTGAGGCCTTCCAGCATAGTGTTGGCCTCAGCAGTTGTGCCACCACCAAATCTTCCTTGCAGTCTTCTATTCCTGACAGCTGCTTGTATGAAGAAAGCAATGACAGCTCTGTTGATAGCGAAGATGGGATTGAGCAAGAAATCAGGAAATTTCTTGAACAGAAGGCTCAAATGCACAAACAACCACCCAGCTCTGCTGTGATTCAAGAGCCTCATTGTGCAAATGAACCAGAACAAGCGAAAGCAAAAGAAGGGACTTTCCAAAAGAAACCACACAGATTGTCTTTAACCCAGAAAAAAAGACAGAAAGAGAAAAGCTTTAGTGTTTGCAACATGTCAGGCACCAACAACATTGTTAAAGAAGCAACCAGTAAGGCTTCGCCTGAGCACACGGAAGAGTCAAACACCTTAGTACCTTCCCAGAGAAGTCAAACACAACCAATCACTGGAATACACAAGACAGACCAAAGTGGAGACAAAAGCAGCTCACTTGACAGCGATGAGGATCTAGACACTGCGATAAAAGACCTGCTCAAGACAAAAAAGAAGTCAAAGAAAAAGAACCGAGACTTAAAGCGGAAATCAAGGAAGTGCCTCAAAGATGAAGAACCACTGTTAGGAAGTGCTTCAGAGGCTAAAAAGTTCAAACCCGATACGATTTCCAAGTTTTGCGCTTTGAAAAAAGTCCACAAGAGCAAGGGGGACATGAAAGACAAGTCTGCATTGAATAAAAGGAGTGTTTCACAACTTAAGCAAATTCAGAAAAGTAAGGAGCATGATATGCATGAAGGTGAACCAGAGAGACTGAAAGGGGCGGAGAATCGAGACACTCAATTACTGCAGACTGTTGAAGCTGCTGCTCAGATAAAGGAAGATAGCAGCTCTGTGGACAGCGATGATAGCATCGAGCAGGAGATCAGAAGGTTTCTGGCTGAAAAGGCCAAAGTTTCCACTGCAGATAAAAGTAAAGACGGAGACGTGTCGAGGAATGGTACTGTTCTGGTTTGTACCCCACTCAGAGAAGAAGACATTAAACAGGAAAATCAGCTGGCTGAGATTCCAATAAAAAGTATCAGTCCTCTCTCTGGACAGTGTCCTCTCATTAGTCCAGCTCAAGATAGACCACTTCTTTCACAGAGTTTGCTGCCCGACATGTCTACTGTTGCTGCACATTCACACCTGCCCTCGGTCCAGTCGGGCAGCCCCAGTCTTTTGGAGCCAGCGGATGGAGCAGGTGCAGCCAGAACTGAGCAAAGGAGGCCTACTGCTGGGAGAGGCATCGTCCACAACGTCACGCCACAGACGGAGAGAGTTCGACCGGTTTTGAGTCTTAGCGCTGCTCATTCTTGCTCAGAGTCAAACAAGTGGCGTCAGAGCCTGGGACTCCCTACTTCTGATTCGAGGGCTCTCAGTCGGACTCCATTCCATATCACCTCGTCTGAAATCAGCGAGACTGCATCAGCAACTCTGCCATATCAAAGCGGGGCCATCAGTCACAAATTACAGACTCCAGGCAGCGTTTGGTCCTCTGCAAGGACCGGCAGAGCGCCGTTCGCCTGCTCGACAGAGACAAGTGTAAATACCCCGTTCAGATCCTCTGTTTTGAATTTTGTTTCTACTGCCAGGCAGCATCCAAGGATGTCCTTTACACGGAGCCTTATGCCTGCCTACAGGTCCCAGTGCTCTATGGAAGAAGATAAACAGAGTATGGTGCACATGTCCAAGGACAAAAGTGTGTTTGTCGAACTGGAATCTAACAGGACCAACCATGTCCAGGTTCAAAGCAGGGACAGGAGCGAGGGAAAGGAGAGAGTGGACTTGCTAAGTGAGAAAAAAAGAGAAGGCGAGAGCATGAAGCTAGGTAATAAAGAAGTACATCGAGAGAGAAACGAGGAAGAATTTGTAGATGAGACAGATTGTGAATCAGGCGACAGGAGAAATCCAGAAAAGAAGCAGGGCTTTTCCACATTGTAAGTACTTTCTCTGATCACATGCCTCCATAGCATCATAAGTTTATGAGGTCATTTCTTGGTTGTGCCCTGCTGATGAGTATAAAGTAGGTTCTGATTGAGCTCATTCATTTATAGGCTCAAAGGGAATGTTTGTTGATATGATAAAACAAAACAGGCATTTTTTTAAATGTATTTGTACAATTATACAGTTATGTAACACAGTGACACCATCATAAAAACTTTATTTGTGGTCTATAGTTAATCCATATAATGGATCCTTTGAAAAGCAATACAGTGAGATTTTGGTACAAGAGACATGAATAGTACCGCCTAACGAAAACAATACTTTCTCGCACATCATCTTAAATATCCGGTTTAAAAAGAAGTGACCAAGTAAAGTAACCTCAGTATGATCGAATGAAGATATAAGTGTGAGTCCAAATGCTTAAAATTAGGATGTTTCTTTGTGTGGAAATACAGAATGTTAATGAGAAAATATACATGCAGTTATTACAATTTATTGCATTATTTACCTGACATAAGTTTACTTTAAGAGAAATTCAAAAATCTATTATGTGCAAAAGTAAAAAAAATAAAAGTCATTATAGCTGATGTTATTGTAGTTGATTTCCATCTATGCCTTCAGTAGTGTTTACTCCAAAAAATCAGAAAACAAATCATATGATTAGATCCATTCACATTTAGATGTGCAATAATTCAAAACGATACAAAATTACACAACTTGTAGCTTTCTTCGAGTGGTTACAGGGAAACTAAAGAATGACAAAGCACTGCTAAATCAAAAATGATCAGTCGACAGAAATCAAATTGTATCAATAGTCAATTAATTGCTTTAGTTATTTTTTATTTTTTTTTGAGTAAAAACATTCAATTTTTTTGCTAGCTCCAGCTTGTCAGATTGGAGGATAAACAGCTTTTTGGTTTATTTCTTTGACTTTTGGACAAAAGAATACACTTTTTTTGACTTGATATTGAATTGCAGATTAATGAAAATAAGTTAAATCTATTGGAATAATCAGTTGATCAATCAAATAACTGGCACATCAGTCAGTGCTAGAAAATAAGCTAGGATAAGTTAGTTGCAGCACTAAACACTATTATTGGTCAAATCTCACATCAAGCTGTGCAATATGACTTAAATGCATACATCTGTAATTAAGAAAGACCAGTAAAAACATTCAAAAACAATATGAATTAACATAACCGGGCCAAAATGTAATACTTCTTATTAGTCTGTTTAATTCCCAGCATTGTAATATGGCTATGAAGAAAATCTCTTCCACTAATTGAATTTTATTGGAAGTAATCCAGCTTAATACAGTTTTGCCATCACTTTACTTTTCTTTGCCAACACTCTACTGCTGCACTCTGCACTGTTTGTGTGTCTCTGCTTGTGCCATCAAACCTCCTTTTGACTCTTTCTTCCACAAGTGGTATCTTCCCACTCAGGTCCAGCTAAGAAGAGTCTTTTTAAAAAAAACATGTCTCTTTACTTCATCTCTCTTTGGCCTACTTTCTTATATCATCACCTCACACTGCTAAAGCTCTAAATCTGTGCTGCAAATGAGATTTTCAGAAAATTACCTTCTCACCTCCCTTACAGATTCAGGAAAGCCTTTCTAACTTTTGCATATACAGCAAAAAATCAGCCAACGCACATGTTTAAAAACGGAGTATACCCTTGATTCTTACGAGGCACCTTCTTAGATCAATCTTGTGGCTACTGGAACAATCAGAGACGTTATGCTACATGCTCCCACCAACATTTGCTTTTCCGACACAGTGCTCTTAGCTCATTGGATGGTTTAAACTCATGGATGGAAACGTAAAGCTCTGTTGTCGATGAAAGCCACTATAGCAGTCATGGACTTATTACCTCTGTGACAAAATTGTTGTTCCAGATTCCACAGAAACCACCTAATTACTCCTCTCTGTCTTGCTAAACTTGATATTTAGTGTGTTCATTTCTTTGTTATGTTATTTTTTTTTCTTGAATTTCCTATGTGGGGGAAAAAAGGCTATTTATTTTTGTTTATCAAAAAACAAAGTGACTGAACATGCTGTGCATTGCCAGGTTTTTTGTAAATATTTTGTAAGAAGTGTTTTTTTTTTTCTTTTACTCTTTCAGATAAAAAAAATAAACTTTTGCTGTGTCTTTTAAGTGCATCTGTGTAATAAAGAGTGGAATCCGAGCAACAATGGGTCGTTTCATTAGTGATGTATAATCATTTGCATCGTTGTTGATTTACAGGTTAGGTTTTATTGGGTTGAAGATGACCTTTGGAATGAATTATAAAAGTGTGAAATAATTTCCTGGGGAGTGGTCTGATGCTTATCCTGCTCTGCCCTGCTCAGGTCTTTGTCCAGTGCCATTGACCCTGGCATCACCTTCAGCCCTTGCATAGCTCTAACATCAGAGGAGAGAGGCAGGATGTTCAGCAGGAGGTATCTGGCTGAAAAATGCAAGGAGGTACAATTATATAGAAACAGGGCAGTTTTTGGGGGGGTCATTTGTATGTCTCACTTGTTCTGACATCGTACAAATATTAATTGCACAGTGCTTGCAGGGGATGTCGTCTCTCTGCTGTGTTCCTCTGTTCAACAGGACTTTAAAGCAGGTCAAAAGAAAGCTTCAGTTTGTTGAGGTGAACAGGTATGTGATTGCACACAGTAGGTTTAGTCTCCTCCGTGAAAGGTCACAAATGAAATTTCTTAGACAGCTTTCCTCTTTTTACAGGTGAAGGGACACACCCAGGCCAGCACAGCATTACAGACAAAGCTTGACTTTTGATTTTCAACAATCTATATAGACTGTTTCACTTTAAGATCTATACAAGTTGTTTAGCATTTGTTTTGCATGTTATTGAGTTTTCATTCATCACATGTGTTGCTGGTTTTCAGTATATAAGCTAATGCAATTTTAATATTTTGGATTTTGTCTGTTTAGGAAATTGTTATGATCAATTTTGAAAATAGAAGTTGTGTAACAGATAAGCTACAGTTCATTGGTTTCCTTCATGCAAGCATTGAAGGGCAGTTTTTCTTTTTGCAGGTTAAAATGTAAATGTTAAAGCCCAGGAAGCCTTTGAGTGTTCTACAGTCAATCTTCAGTACATTTGCACATGTAATTTTTCTTTATATGGTCCCCCTATGGATAACCTAATACAAAATAGAAAATGTAATTCATACATGTGCGTACACATTTACTTTTCATTCTACAGTTGTTTTGTTAGATATTGTATCTTTATTTACACATGTTTGTTCTGTATCAGTTTATTTGTTCAAATTAAGGTTTCCTTCTCTAAGAACTTTAACGATTACCCTGCTGTTGGTCTTGTATTTGTGTTGAATAAAGTTGGGCAGTTTAAAAAGACAAAAAAAAGAGGGCATCATGGGTGTCGTAGTTTTTTTTACGGAAAACCTACGACAGAACATCTACTTTACGGCAATAATACTCATGACGGCAACCCATGAACTACAAACGCGCAGGCGCACTGTGTTGACCTTCCGTGGATCTTAAGCAAGCATGGCTGCCCGGGCACTGATGAGAGGTATGCACGCCAAACTACATTTATTTCCCCTAATGTTTCATGTCATTGTCAGTGTATTTTGTGTTAACGCAATTTTAAAGAGTCATATTTAAATGTTTGCGTGTTCGTTTGCACTTACACGGTGAGCTACCATGCGACAAACTTGCATGTTAGTTCACCGTTACAGCTAGCTTCAGGCTAGTGGTTTCATCCGGACTTGTGTCTTGTATTTAGGACTTTTGGGGTCACTCCACTCACGGACCGTCACAGTCGCATACACCGGTGGACATCACTATGCCACGGAAGCGTCTGTTATGTCACCACAACCCCAGATGGACGATTATACAGGCGAGCTAACGAATCCCGAGGTGTCTGATGTAAGTTTAGTTAGCGCTGTTTTCTTCCAGACTTTCAACAACTGTACTTCTTCTCCTTACAGAAAAAATATTGAACGAGCCCCTTCAGAAGCCGGACTTCTTCCGTGTGTCTGAGCTCTTCTCGTTGAACGACTTATTCGACGCCAGAGTGCATCTTGGTCATAAAAAAGGTTGCAGGCACAGGTTGGTGTTGTTTCCACCGCTCATTCATCAATCAGTAACTGTACGAGGGAGCAGACATTGAGTGTTTTTCATAGTGATGCTCTACATGATGATGCACCAGTTTTCAATTCATTCCTGTTTTTGTTGCCTTTTGGTCTTCCGCTTAGACTTGACAATGAAAGAACGTTGCAGGGTTGAGCAGCAAATTAGATATGTATTTAGAAAAATTCCTGCAAAAGCATTTTTGTATTCCCATCCTGAATCACCCCCTTTTTTTTCTTCTAATGAATCTTATTTGTACATGTGTTGCAAGTAGGGCTATAACCAACATTTTCAATTAATTTATAAACAGTTTGATCTATAAAAAAATTTTTTAAAGATGGTGAGAAATGCTGATCAGTCTATCCCAAATCCCAAGATGACATCCACATCCCAAAGATATTCAGGGGCAAAGAAACCAGATAATATTTATGTTATTAAGGTTTAGATTTTTTTAAAGATAAAATTACTAAAAGTTTATGATGACTGATAATTAATCAATAGTTGACAACTAATCAACCAGTGGTTACAGCTGGAGTTGCAGAACTTTTTGTAGATAACCTTTTCTCATCCTGATTTGGTGCCATTTGCTATTGAATAGGAAACCATTGGAGTCCTGCTGGCTTGTTAAATCCAAGGGACTTTGCCTAAAAAGAGCTGCTAGTTTTCACCCAATGTGGATGAGAACACCATTTAAATTCTTTATATTTGCCTCCCTTCGGATCCAGCGCAGTAAAGATTAGAACGACTAACCCTTGGTGTGCAATCCCTGACTGCTCTGTGTATTAAAGCTGCAACAGTTAATTGGTAAGTTGTCAGATATTAAAGGAATAATCAGCTTGTCTGATAATTGATTAATCAGTTGGAGTAATTTTGTGAGAAACAAGAAAGTCTAAACTCTGAATTCATCTTCTTAAATGTAAATATTTTATGGTTTCTTTACTCTTTGACTTCTATGAAGGGACACTAAAGATTTCCAAGTTGAAAACAAAACGGGACTTGTGTGAATGTTTACTTGGGCTTTGGAAAACACAGCCTGACTTTTTTCACAATTTTTGGACATCTTCGTGACCAAACAAGAAAATAATGGACTGATTAATAGACAACAAAATTAATAGTTAGTTGCAGCCCTGTTGTTTATATGTATGACTACGCCAGGTAGAGTAGTATTAATATTACTTAAAATCTCCAGACCAGGATTTTTGTAAAAAACCTGTATTTTCGTGCTTTAAGGTCAAAGTGTGACATCTATAGTTAACTAACTCCCATCACATTACTGGTTTCTAAACATGACTGTCTGTTTTGATTTAACATCAGTCTTTTTATTTAAACTATTTAATTTTGCTTTGCAAGTTGGGCTGTATAATTCCACGTTTAACAAAGTGAATACATGCTGTAATAAAGGTACACCACTCTGAAGGAAACAGAAAGCTGTGTGCTGTCATTTGAGTGATATTCGCTACTGGACCAACTGTAAGATAATAAATTCAAAAGGGATTGCAGACGACCTGGAAATTGATATTACACAAAAGAACTGTATAATGTACATATCCCACACCAACTATGTACCTTGAGGAAAGTGGCATCAATTTCTCATTTTAAGTTGGCTGACTTTATCAACCTAAATGTAATTTTCTCTTTCTAGGCTGATGGAGCCTTATCTCTATGGCTGCCGTTTGGGTCATGATATAATTGATCTCGACCAAACTGTGGAACACCTTCAGCAAGCACTGAACTTCACTGCTCATGTCGCGTATCGCGGTGGTGTCATACTGTTCATCAGCCGCCGGCGTCAATTTGGCCACCTGGTAGAGCGCACTGCTAAGTATTGTGGGGAGTACGCGCATACGCGGTACTGGCAGGGCGGCCTCCTCACCAACGCCAACATCCAGTATGACGCAGGGGTCCGCTTACCGGACCTCATCATCTTCCTGTCAACTCTAAACAATGTGTTTCAGCAGCACGTGGCTATCCGAGATGCAGCCAAGATGAACATCCCCACGGTGGGTGTGGTGGACTCAAACTGCAACCCCAGCCTGGTGACGTACCCGGTTCCTGGAAATGACGACACTCCAGCCGCCATGGAGCTGTACTGTCGCCTATTCAAGATGACTATCAACCGCGCCAAAGACAAAAGGAGACATATGGAGATTCTTCAAGGCATGCCAGCACCCTCCACACCAAGCTCGTGACATGAATAAACAAACAAGAGACAATAAAAATGCATTTCCTAAAAATGGGACTGTCTGCTGCTCCCCTTCGATATGCATCTGCACTTGGAAAACATCTGCCGTGTGTTGACTGTTCAGTTCAACCAGCTGCACTGCTGTCTTCTGTTAAGACTCATCAGTGAATCTCGCTCCTGTGACAAGGTTTTCTTGTTCTAATTTAACTTTTTTTTTTTTTACAGTTACGTTGTCTAAATGTTACCAATGCATACATCTGATATATTTGTGACTGCATTTACATGGACTGTCATAATCTTAGTAAACATTTGAAAGTGAAAAGCCATTTGTCTTGCTGTTGCCTAACACAAACATTAACTCACACATTCTGTTGCCTGAGCCTGTCTTTGTACAAATCTTTCCAAAAAGTGCTGCTTATATGTTGTAAATTCAATACAATAAATGGGAGCACATGCAAACTATAGCCATTTGGTCACTGCAGCAATGAAGAACCTGTTATGAGGCCTTTTCTAGATGGACTTATGTGTTAGTCAGGAATTGTAAAATTTTACTCAATTACTATCACAATCACATTTGAGTATCTGTAACTGGAGAGTCTTTGCATATTGGCTTCTGATTTCCAGCATTAACATCAAACAATAAAATGGTTTAAGACTGAAAGAAAGTCAATCAGCTATTGGACAGGCTAACAGTTTCAACTCTAATTGTTATATTGCAGTGCATGTAAATGTCGTGTTTGGATATGATTTTAATTTCCATGAGCAAAAATAGCCTCCTGTGCAAAAGGGCAGTCACGTGGTCCGTATGATAGACAAGCCGTGTTCTCCACAACTCATTAAAATATACTTAAAAGCAGTTTGCAAGAAGTGTGCGTCATACTGAAGCCATTTTTGTTGATCTGAAAGTGTTGAATCCAAATCGCTTTCTTGATGCAATACGTAGCCATTTAGTAATTTTTCCAAAGGGTGTCAGACAAACTCTCTGCTCATGTAGAATGTAATCTGACCTCTTAACTTTACATCCAAAAGCTTTAACAGTAAACAGTGGTAGAACGTATCTGTGTATATATACTCAGGAACTGTACTACAGTATGAATTTGAGGTACTATTTCCATTTTATGCTACTTCTACTCCACTGAATCTTGAAGGCGAATATTGTACTTTTACTTCACAACATTTGCCTGATAGCTGCAGTTACTCTTCAGATTATAGTTTGTCCTAACCTCCTGCCCAGTCAAAACCACCAATTAGCTGAATTATTTTTTACGTGGTTTGCAGCGAGCCACAAACTTATGGCCTTACTTACTTGGTGGCTGTAATCTGGGTTTGTTTTGGAATTTTCTGTCCGGCCAGTAGTTTCAGACAACCTTGTTGGAGCTCTTAGATGTGTTAAAATGAGTTTGGCTCGTGGTGAGTTTTATTGTTGCACAAGAGAAAAGAAAAATGTAATGAAAGGTACCAGATGATAATCTGAGTCTCAGTTCGTTTACTGAGTATCTAAATCAGCAATTGTAGTTTAGGTGTAATGAGCTTTATTATACATGTTAAGGTAACTAGAATTAATTTCTTCTTCAGAATATCTGGTGTTGATTCATCCACTGCTTTTAACAAACTAAATGCCAATAAATAAATAAAATTTACATCTAATATTAAATATTCTTTTAGCTGTTCATGTAGCTTTTGTACAGTTGATTTTAATGTTGGGAAAATTCCACATAATGCTAGAAACAGTGAGCAAAGTTCACATTTTCCAGACTTTGGAATTTAAAAAAAAATAAAGAACTGCATTAATATGGCACACTATAAGCAGCCCTAAAAGCAAAGCATGGGAAGACAGTAATTAAAACAAAGTATATTTTCAACAAATTTATTATGGACTGGTGACATTTATTGAAAATTATCAATCACATTTCTCTTTTTCTTCTAAATTTAAATAGTTATTCTTATTGTTATTATGACTAGAACATAATAGTTCTTTATTTTATATATATATATATATATATAAGTATTATATAAGTATAAAATATGAAAAGCAATGAGGAAAAGGAGGTATTTATCGCAGAGACAACAGTATTAACAACAGACGGTATATTATTATTATTATTATTATTATTATTATTATTATTATTATTATTATTATTATTACTACTACTACTAGTAGTAGTAGTAGAAGTAGTAGTAGTATGTTAATAATAATGATCAGCGAGGGAGGTTTGGCTGCTCCGGGCTTCCGTAGTTGTAGTACGTCCTGTAGTTCCGACCTTGTGGCCAGCAGGGGAAATGTGTCGCCACGACAAAATGGTGAGTGGGAGTGTTTCACTTTAGACACCATACAGAAGTGTGTTGCGTTGTATTTTACTTAGTAATATAATTTAAAACCATTAAAAACGAACTCGTTTTCACTTTTTTCACAACTTCAGTGTTTCCTTGGACTTAAAGTAAACACGACTTGCTGGGAAAAGTGCGCTTTACTGGTAAACGTCGACAATATTTTATATATATTTCATGACAGTCGTTGTTTAATTGCAGATAAATGCGTATTTCAGGTGTTTGGTTACTTATTTGGTTGTAGTTTTTGCTTTAGGACAGCTGACACAGGGCGTAGCATTCAACAGGCTGTTTCCACAGGTTCACCAGGATTAAGAGGTTTATTCTCAGTTTGCCTGCACATGAGGTTAAGGGAGGTTAAATCGTATGGAAATGCTCGGTTTTAGCTTTATCTACTGCTGGTGTGAGTGAGAGTTTGGGTGTGGCAGGCTGCGAGTTTTTGCAGGCCTCACACTGCTGTCAAACCTGCAGCTGAATATAGAACTGTGACTCTGTGCAGATGGCTGCCATTCTTTAGATATATGTGGAAGCAACTGAAACATGTTCCAGTCAACTTTTTATGGGGAAAATGTCAACAGAAATGTCACAATGAAGGGAAAAATAAAAATTCTACTGTTGCAATGGGACATTAGATGTTCCTTCAAGGCACAGAGGTAGAGACAACCATGTACGGTAAGTTTGGGTCAGGTTTCGCATAGTACGACATGGCTTTATTAGGTCATGAATAGGGATAGAACAATTAATGGAAATATTGCAAAAAAAAAAAAAAATGGCAACATGGCTATAAGCAGGATCCACATTGCAGGAGCTGCAATTTTTTGCTAAAAGTAAAATGCATCCTAACACACTATAATTGAAATATTGTGATGCTTACAGATCATATTCTCCAGAGAACTCACTTGTTTGGTACCCACCACTGCAAAAACCACATCACTATTTCAATATTTTTTTTTAAAAAAAGTGGCAACGAAATGCAAAAAAAATACCATTCCTAGTAAAATTTTAACTTAAATTGCAATCTTGAAATCTGTCCAAAAAAATCACAATATGATGTATTTATTGGCCACATGTTGAACAGTTTGCAGCATGGCTGAGCCAGGGATCAGACTGTCTTGTAAATGGTTTTAAAAATTCGCTCAGACTTATTATTGCAAGCCTACATGAAATGTTCCTGTTTATTACTAAAGAGCTCTAAATGACTCCACACTGCCATCAGTTTAATGTGCAAAGTGGTTAATAGAACAAAAGGCTTGATATCGGTAACAGCAATGTTTTGTCAGTCAAAATGCAGTTTAAAACTCATCAGGAACACTTCCACTAAGCTCATAAGAACAAATTCCTTTCTTATTTCCAGAGGTGGTATTTAGCTCATGGATAGCAGGTGCAAATAGAACAATTAGCAGTGATGTTTGGTTGGTTAAAATATTTTCATTATTGTAATGCTATATTGGAACACGATAATAAACACAACCATCTTCTAATGTATTGACCCACCAACACACTACAACACAGCTATTTCCCCATGGCTGTGAAGAGGCTGATGCGCTCCCAGTTTATGGACTCATTCTAACAAATGCTCTTTTGCACTTTTGATAGAGTATTTGTTTTTTATCACCTTTTAACTTTTTTTTCTCAGACTGTGACCTTATTAGCTGCTGCATAGATGATACCATACAAAATTTCGTTGTATCTCTTGTACAATGACAATAAAGCTTCTTCTTCTTTGTTCATGTAGGTAAATGTGTGTCATGCAGATGTCCTTCTGGTTTGCAAATGAGCTCAGATGATCTCACATGACTATTTCAGAGAATGGTAAGCTGCCTTGTTGCAGACTTTTTTTTATTTTTTTTTTAACTGTGTAACTGGACATATTCGAATCAATATTGCCCCTTGAGACGCAACTCTGACTCCAGTGTCTCTGTTTGTGCAGTATGTGGGCAGAAAGTAACGGGCTCACGATAGCTCAATTTCCACTATTTTGTGGACTTTGGGTATGGAACCGGGCCAGATACTTCCACTCTGCTTCGTCAGTAGTAATGTGATATTACAAATCAGCATGACAACTGGTCTATTATGTCTATTACTGTAGAAATAGTTGAAGGTGTTGCAGTATTTATTTGCATTAAACAGAGAGGTGAGGCAGTAGATAACACAGTCCAGTACAACATCTTGAGTAACTGTAGCCTCAATGTGAAAACATATCATGAAATGTATACGTGTATAATAAGATATTATTATGACACATTATATTCCGCAAAGTAGACTTACTCATGAACGTTCACATTTAATTTCACTGTCTAACAAAGTGACCACTGAGTATATAGTGTACCATGAATCTTAAATGCAACTATTCAGATGGGTCTTAATTCTCATCCATCCGTTGTCTATACACCATTTTATCCTCTGTAGGGTTGTGGGGGGCTGGAGCCTATCCCAGCTGACTTAGGGTGAAGGCAAGGGACACCAGTCTATCACAGGGCTACACTTAGAGACAGGCAACCAAGCACACTCACATTCACACCTACGGACAATTTACAATCACCAATTAACCTGAACATGTTTCTGGACTGTATGGGAGGAAGCCGGAGAACCCAGAGAGAACCCACACTGCATGGGGAGAACATGGAGACTCCACACAGAAAGCCGAGATTCAAACCAAGGAACCTTCAAGCTGTGAGGTGGCTTTGCTAACCATTGCAGCAATACATCCATGTTTGATGCGGATAAGAGACATTACGAGGTGCAGAGCTGGTAGTAGAACATAAGCAGATTTTGGCATGACTCTAAAAGGGTTTTTCTGTTAACAGAATTTAAACATTTGCTTAAATTCTTTCCTATGAATGAAGGTTCTAATGATGTAGAAGTCCAGGGTGCACCTTTCATGGGTCATAGAAACCTGTAGAGCTGCAGCAGTGTTGCTTGGAAAGGTAAGAATACATTTTTTTTTCTCGTCCCGGCTGCCTCTTGAGGCGCTGCAGTCTGACGTGTCGTTGAGCCTTCATGTGTCATAATCATTGCATTCATTCCCTACAGCAACAGGGGCTTGAAGGGATTTTACTTTATGATGAAAACTGGCAACTTACTGAACGATTTTTAAACTTGGGAACTATATAGCCATCCTCCATTATGCTGAAAACATCATCCCGCCTCAGTTTTGGAGTCAGTCATCTGAAGACATTAGAGACATGTTTGAAAAAGAGCATTTTGCATATGAACACCTTGAACGTTCAACATGTGTAAAAAAGTATTACAGCATGTGCAAACACATTTAAGCTTGTCTGATATTTTGTTGAGAAAGAAAACCCTGTGACCCTGTTTACAGTTGGTTTCCAAATGCATTTTAGTGATCTGACAACGAGTGGACAGCTGAGACGCATCAGAAATGTTTCAGTAACTAAAATACATGTGTGTACAATTTCACCTGTTGACACTGACGGGGTAAAATCTTCTGTCACTTGCAAAACAGCACAGGACAAAAACCCCCATATGCTGCTTTGATGATGTATTTTCGTGGTACGTCTGCAGATGATCTAAAATGCAGCAGCACACCTGGTTTTCAACCAGCCAAAAACAGCACATGTCACCTCGCTGTTCAGATCGCTTCACTGGCTTCCAGCTGCTGCCCGCATCAGATTCAATGCTCTGACACCTGCCCACAAAACTTCAATGAGAACAACTTCCTCCTACTTGAACTCTCTCATTCAGATCTACACTTCCTCTGCTTACTACGCTCAACCAACAAAAGCCTCCTGATACAACCACCACAACAGGGCCTGAGGTCAATAGCTAGACTCTTTTCCTCTGTGGTTCCCCGGTGGTGGAACGAGTTACCAAACTCTGTTCAATCTGCTGAGTCCCTCTCAGTCTTTAAGAAAATACTGAAGACCAGTTCTTCAGTGAACACCTTTGCACCTGACAGACTGAAAACAAAAGGAAGAACAAAATCCTATTACCTCCCACACAGCCTGCTGTTGGCATCAACGCCCTATCACACTTGGATTTGTTCTGATGCACTTATCTAGATTGTTTTCTCCTGACCAGATCCTTGCTTGTGTTGTAACCGCTGTCAGATGTACGTCACTTTGGATAAAAGTGTCCGCTAAATGGAATTATAGAGCTGTAGAACCACTAACAGTATGTGATTACACGTCCTTTTTGGGGATGCATCAGGACGCATTAGCATTTATGCTGCAAAAGTTGAGCAGTCAAAGTCATCCTAGATCACCTTGACAAGTGGTTTGAATCATGGGTTCACATTGCATCTTGGTGGTTGTTTACCCTTCAATGCAAAACACGCACATTTTTGTACGTACTACAGCTCCCCTTGAAAAAAAAGTGCTTCCTGTTGAAGGCAGCATGCAAACAGCTGGGACGTACTACTTTGCCTAACGTTGAGCCTCAGGCTTCGAACATCCTGCTCATACATTCATCTCAGTCTGCTGGGGGAAACCACCTGTCTGCACACTCTTAGTGGCTGAAGCCTTTTACTCGAGTAAGACACTGTGATGTGATGAATGTGACACATCTTCTGCTGCAGAGCGTTGTAGGTTGCCATGACCAGGAAAGCATGCTGGCTTGCATACTGCAAAATGCAACCAGATGTCGTTGGACATCCTTGTGTTTTTTTTTTATACTGCATTTGACGTTCTATGTATTTGGACATACTAAAACATTTTTGTAGCATACGTTGTACTGTAGTAGTGTTTGTATTTAGTGCTGTCCATTTGTGATCCAATCATTCCAGATGTATTTTAAAACCAAGTGTAAACAGGCTCTGTTTTATTTAACTAGATTAACAAATGAGGGAAGTCAGGCCAACATGTCTTTGCTGGCAGTGTATCAGCAGTTTAAGTTTAAAAATGCTCTATAACATGACTCGTACACTATTCATGATATTTATAGATTTCTAAAAAAGTCTTAACTTACTTGGAAGGATTTCAACTCTGTCCAGATTTATTTTGGCGATCAGATTGGTTGGTTGTCAGTGTGACTGAACAATGTGGAGATAATACCTAATTGTGTTTTTTTCTGACAGATATTTTAATTTCATTTGACACCATTTTTCAACGTCAAGCTTCAGTTGTAATAGATGTTAAATGTGATGGAGCGTGAGACACCAACAACAGTGTGACTGTACAAATCCACGTGTCATTTATTCGTGCTCCTTGAGTGACAAACACTGAAGTGAAAAGTTTAAACCCTGCTGCAAATCCTACAAGGTGTGGCTGCTGATGAGGCTGAGCTTGTGGCAGTTGAACCACAGCGTGGAGCCTGAACCATGGAATGGTTAACGGGCAACAGAAACAGCGAATGAAATAAATGAAGTTACAGCAGTAGGCTCCAGATGTATCTATAATTAGAGCCTTAGTGATTTGCTCATTGCAGTGTTTCAAATTTCACCTTGAAATCAATTAATTGTCTGCAATTGCTTGTACCTAGTTTGCTGGTTGCCTGTAGTTTCTTTTGCCTAAACAGATTCTCTTATCCTTCAGTGTGCATGTGTACAGTAATGCCCTCCTCTATCAAAAATATACCTACACTGACAATTGCATGTTTCAATAATAAGTTTTCCCGGAATCAAATCTCAGGATTTATTTAAAAAAATCTCTCTCTTTTTGTTCTTAACATGTTGATATGGAGTTGTTTTTAACATGCTAGAAGACGTATCATGTGTGACAGAAGCAGTTAACAGCATGACTGAGCATTTCCACCTTTATCCTGCAGCGTACCGATGACAGTCTCAAAAGCAACACTTCATTAGTAACAGACCAAAGGAACCAGTCCTGTCAACTTGCAGGGTGAGGCCTCCTGTTATTATTATGCCACAGAATCTGTTGCCAGTTCAAACATGTATGGATGGGTGAATGTCAGGGACCTGACAGATCCACACAGTCTGCTGTTAAATGAAGCGTGCAAACAGGTCTGTCCATTTCTTCCCTGTTAAATAATGATTTCCTTTCCTTGGAGAAAAACTCTGAAGCACCTAGAAAACTGCATATCCACTACACATACACCCAATATATGACTGTTGCATTTTGACTTCCTTTATCATCGTACTTACTTCTCCATCTGTTTCCTTCTGCTTGTCCAGAGTCGGGTCATGGTGGCAGCAGGCTCAGCGGGGATTCCTCACGTCCGTCTCCCCAGCAGTGTTTTCCTTTTTTCCAGTCCATCCCAAGGTGTTCCCAGGCCAGATGAGATGTGGAGTGTCTCCAGCGAGTCGTGGGTCACCCCTCTGCTCTTCTTTTAGTTGGACATGTCCACAAAACCTACCAAGGAAGGTTTGTGATGTTCATGGACAGAATCTCAAGGTGCAGCCTCGGTGAGGAGGGTGTCCAGTGTGGGGACGTCAGACTTGTGTCAACATGTTGTTCACGAGGAAACTGGAGCATGAGATGGACAGACGGATTGATGCAACATCGGCAGGGATGCAAGTGCTGCCTTCATCTATCATCATGACCTTAAGGGAGCGACTGAAAGAACGCAGATACAAGTGGCCAGAATGAGTTTCCTCAGTCTTACAGGTAGTATGAGGAGCTGTGACACCTGGAGGGAGGACAGTCACTGCTCTGGCATTGACAGCAGCCTGCTGACATCTGATAGGATACCTGCTGTTCATGACGACTTATGAAGTTAATAAAACAGATTCTGAACACAAGTCTGTGCAGTTGTCACATTTTCTTCTTATGGAAAGTAATTCAGACTATTCAGAATATAACACTAAAATGCACCATTATTTTTAATGACGCTGGTGTTCAGCAGCAGTAATTGTCTGATGTTGAGGTGATTTGTGAGTTGCTTCCACAGTGACGTGCAAACAGTCGATGTTTTTCTCTGACCACACAATTTAAAGGAGCTCCGGACAAGAAAAAAAAAGAGAAAATCACAGCAAATATCAGTAAAATAATTGTATTTTTAGCTGATTTAAATATAGCAAAACAAATGATTTTATGGGCAAACCTTTAAAAAATAATTTTAAAAAAGTATTCTTTGTAAAAAATAAATAAATAAATACAGATTTGTCATGTAAGCATAATTTACAGCTTGGTCCTGTTTTTTTTTTTTTTTTTTTTTTTAAACAATGAACATGTAAATTAATTATTTTTATTTTAATAGATAACACCTGTAATTTAACAAAACATTAAACAATCATTCAATCATTTACCATTTTAAATCCTTAATATGCATGACTTTCTTTTCAAATTACAGCAAATATCTGTATAACTTAGATTTTTGCTGATTTATTTTTATTTTTTTATGTATTTTAATGGGCAAACAAAATACTAAATAGTATTTATAAAAATACAGATTTTTAATGCAAACATGTCCAACTTGGGCTTTTTTTTTTAAACAACGTATAAATGAATACTTTTTTATAATTTTATTAGATGCTACCTGTAATTTAACAAAACATTTTTAAAAATTACCATTTTTTAATCCTTAATATACATGATGTTTCTTTCAAATTACAGCAAATTATGGAGTCGTGAGAGTGCCAAATTAAAAAAATAAATCAAGACAAGAATAATAAAATAAAAGTGGAAATAAAAAGAACAAATAAAATAGAAAAAATAATGTGGCAATAAAAAGCAATATTCATCAAAAATGAATCCATGAAAGAAAAGGATAATAAAAGTAGAAATACAAAGACAAATAAAATAATAAAAAAATATATTATTTGTATATATAGATATATATATATTTTACATTTATTTTTTTGTCTTTTTTATTTCTACTTTTATTAGCCTTTTCTTTCATGGATTCATTTTTGATGAATATTGCTTTTTATTGCCACATTTTTTTAAAGAACAAATTACCATTTATGTAAATACAGATTTTGGATTATTTACAGTTTTGATGTGCTTTTTTGTTGTTGTTTTTTACTGTTGGAGTGTAAATTAATACGTTTTATCTTTGATTTTCTGGTAATTGTCTATAACCAACTAGGAACAATCTGTAACATAACAGTATAAATGAAAAAACAAAACACCGTTAACACAGTGTAAAAGCAGTGATTTGTCAATGTGTGTGTGTTGACTGCAGCTCAGATGAAGATGTATTCTGAATTCTGAACTGTACTGTTCCACTTCTGCCTCCTGATCATCATCATCTGAACTCTGAGGATGTTTCTAGCAGCTGCTGAGGAATAAACGCGCTCTGAAGCCACGGGCTTTGTGATGCAGAAGGACAGGAAGCGCACTGTTTTGCTTTTACGTCGGCGGACAAAAAAAAAAAAAAAAAGCCAGCTCGCAGCTGATCCGTCCCTTTAAAGAAGCGCAGCAGCGAGTCGCTGGGAAACGGAGCTTGTGTTCACGTCGGTCGACACACGGGCTATTTCTGTGCCACAATTACGTCCACTTTCACAAGCAAAGAGGCTCAATGGAGAGGCTTTAATCGGACTTGTTGGTGATGCTGGACGAGCTTGGATGCTGAGCCGGAGCGAAGGGTTTTTGTTTGGGGGTTATTTTTGGCCCATATGGAGCTGAAATTTCTCAATTTCAAGGACGTGCACTTGAAGATGTTTTTTCATTGAAAACCCCGGATAAGGACACGGATTCTGGTGCTGTATCATAAATGACAGGCTGCGAAAACATGCGTTTCTCCTGCGCCTAGCCGTGGTGTTTGTCGCGACGCATGGCGGGGGCTGCTGTGAGGATGTGATCAGACAGGGATCTCTGCTTTCTCGCTCCGCTGCCTCCACAGAGTCGCTCATGATGCCCAGGGCTCTGCGGAGACTGGTCCATTTGATGCTGTTCTGCCCTCTGTCCAAAGGCCTGCAGGTAGGTGTGCACAGCTGCTGGGCTTCTCCAAGAGGCACCAGGATGCGTGTGGGTTCACCAGAGACGCTTCTGCACCACAAAATGTCGCGATTTCAAAAAAAGGGGGAAAAAAAACAAAAGCAGTGCCTGCAGAGCAACAACTATCTTCTTGTCATCTTAAGGTCAAGTGAGTCGCTGTGCTTTCATTTATGCGGGTCTCAGTGCAGAAAGTAACTCGTTGCTTTTCCTCAGGTACAGCTTCACCAAACACGGTTATGGTGCAATGGAAGAAAGAACAGAGAGAGAGAAAAATGTAAAATTGTTCCAGTTAACTCAACACCTACATAATCAACATTGTCCTTCTGGGTACATGCTAGACACTGTGTAAAAAAAAAAAAGAAATTCTTGAACAATTGACTGTTATTTTATGTATTTTTCTCTGTTTTGTTGAATGACAGACAATAATCAGTCAAATCTGAGAAAAACATTAACCCTAAAATAAAAGTACATTTACATCAAAAGTCTGTACTTTCATAAATTAAAATTAGTTGTTTTTCTTTGTTTTACTGATGTTTGCTATTATTTGAAAGGAAAAAAAATGTATATCAAGGATGGAGAATTTTATTAATATTATTATTTTTACAGATTTTTCCTGTTATGTTAACTTCCAGATAATATCCAGTGAAATCACAGACAAAAGTATCATTTACATAACTGTCAAAAAAAAACCAACTGAATAAAACACAGCCAAAAACCACAAATATCTGTTTTCTATATATGTCGTATGTTTTACTGTTTATTGATAGTTGCTGTTATTTACTTCTTTTTAATTTAAAGTTTATATTGGGATCCTTGCTGCTAGATTTTGAACGTCTTTTTATAGGATTTTTTTATTTTAAAATTTTTTTTTTAACTGAGAAATCATTTTTATAAATAGTAATTTGTACTTTATAATATTTGACCATAAAATTACACTGTTCTACTGTATTTAAATCAGATTAAAAATCTGATTATTTCACAAGTATTTTCTGTTATTTTAACAGTTTTTACAGTTTTTGAAAGCTAGAATATTTTTGTTAATGGATTTTTTTTATTTTTTTTATTTTTTTGCAGTGTAGACTGTTATGAACACTATTGAAAACAACATTCTGCAAAATGACTACTTTCAATTTTTTCTACTTTACTTTTTATATTTTGGTGTGCATGTTTTCTTTTATGTCGGGAAATTATGAACTCAAGACTTTTTTGTAATCATGCTGTTTTTGGTATTTTAACTTCTTAGTCCAATAATGTTCAAAGAGGAGTTTGGTAGACTAAATGTCACTCAGCTTCATGTATTTATTAGCTGTAGTTGATAGTTACTGTTAAGAAATAACACGCCTTTAAAAGTAAAATACAATGTATGTCAAACCAGTATTTCTCCTTTTTTATTTGCTTATGACCCCTTAAAAAATGTCAGTGTCCACTTAGGGTTTGTCACATTTCAGTGATGAAAATCTACCAAAGAAGTTTCCCCTCTAATGGGTTCATTTACTTTGAATGCATCGTGCAAATAGTCCTCGGAGTTAGAGAAAAGCCTTATTCAATGAGTGGTTCTGCGGTCTTGAACACAGATTTTCCTTTTTTTTCTGCTCATTATTTTTCTAAAAAAAAAAAAAAAAAAACAAGTGCAGGGCTTATCCATGAAAATATTGCAGAACAATAAATGTAGGGACCCAGGAGGTGGGAAAAAAGAATATTTAAACCATGTTTAACATCAGCCATGACTGTCAGCGTTTCTACTATCTGACAAAAATGACTTAACAAAGAGTTAGCTTTAACCAACTGTGCACAAACACTAAACAAAAACTTGTTAAGCTGTTCAACTGGTGACACATTCTCGACCGCTGAGTTCATCCCCACCCTTCTCAAGTGTGACTTTACACTTTTTTATCAGACAGTGTGACCAGAACGCTAGTGACTGTTAACGTCCACATTAAAATGCAGCTTTGTTCAAATGACACAATGTGACAGATGACAAGTGAAAGACGAGAACGAGCCGTGGGCTGCTCATCAAAGAAACTGTTCCAACCTGTCCCCCCAAATGTCCACCAACAATTCAGTAAGCGTGGAACAGCACTCCACAAGCGTCACCAACAACCTCATTAACCGTATGCAGACGTGTGATTCGTTATTGACTTGATCTCTGGTCCATGACCCCACTCTGCATCCGCTCATTATCATTGCCAATATAGCGTGTGCTGTCATGATGTCTGTTCTTTTGTGTAGATGCCATGTTCCCCTTTTAAAAAGAATAGATAGAATTTAATTTTTCAAAAATCTCATGCTGCAGGTATATTCTTCTTCAGTGTTGCGCCTCAAAATTTTGCTTTTTCTTTTTTTCTATTTCATTAATTATCTCATGGACACTGGGCTTGACCTCATTGTTGGGAACCAACAACTACACTATCAATACTAATAGAGAACAAAAGCAGCTCACAGCTTCCACAGTCTAATAATGTAATGTATCATGTCTGTGAAGATTCTCAGCCATCCAGGTCATGGTTATTCTCAGAGTAATTTAGCAACTGAATTTGTTTGAGTTCCTTGAAGACGTTTCACCTCTCATCCAAGAGGCTTCATCAGTTCTGACTGACTAGTTGGGAGTTCCAGATAATTATATCCTTAACACCTGAGTTAACGAACCCTATTGTGGCAGGGGGAGCACTAACGACCCACGTAACGAGGGGGAGGAGCAACAAACCCCCAATTGAAACCAAGGTGTTAAGGATATAAGTATCTGGAACTCCCAACTAGTCAGTCAGAACTGATGAAGCCTCTTGGATGAGAGGTGAAACGTCTTCAAGGGACTCAAACAAATTCAGTTGCTACGATTAATTTACAAGAATTGTATTGTATCAGTCACAGGAACCTTATTTTGCAGCACAAATGCTTTTCATTTTGAGACTTTTGGTATATTTAGCTGATAGCCTTTGTACTTTCAGGAGAGTTTTAAAGCAGGACTTCTTGTGAGTATTTTTGCATTAATGTTTAGGATCTAAGTACGTTTTTCCACCGTCAATGTTCTTGGTTTCCAACAGCTTATTCACTGCTCTGTGCCAATTTCATCTTGGCTTATAGTATGTTCTGTCTTCCTCCCCCATCCTACAAAGAGTCGTCTCCCAGCCATTAAGGTGAAGTACCTCCTGCTGGCATGGCTGGGCATCCTCATCGTCAGCTGGATCCTCTACATGCAGTACGCCTCGTACTCCGAGCTCTGCCGAGGGCATGTTTGCCAAATGATCATTGTGAGTATTGTCTTTCAGTTGTATGAAAATCAATAAGTGCATTACAGGGTAAATCTAGTGGAGGCCCAAATAGACATGAAGTAGGTAGCATGTGATATCGTCAAAATGTTGTTAAGTTGCAGAGAGAGAAAAAAAACAACATCAATCAGCAACATCAATTGTAGTCTCATTTGATGTAGGTTGAATTGCAATCAGATTTTTTTTTTTGAAGTCCTACACAACGAGTCTACAGAAGAAGGATGAATTCAGAGATGAAAACAGCAGTTGTACACACACAGATCAATACGTAATGAATCTGTTTTGAACCAGTAAAAAGAACATTCAGTGCCATACTGTGTGCTTCATAATTTATTAAGTCCACCATCTGATTTCCATTTTTGACTGCGATGGGAGCTGATTTGAAACCACCGCAGAGGTTTAGAACAGAGGCTCCACAGAACAAGACAACAATGATCCAACTGCTGCAGCGCTTCGACGCTTAAATAATGGGAAATCTTTCCAATTTAATGGAAATACTGCCGTACAGCTGATCAGGAGGACTGTCTTTTGAGGAAGAGGAGACACAGTTTGGGGTTGTTGGGGTTGACCTGCATCGTATAGCTCCGGATGCAGATGGAACTGTAACCCTGCAGCTCTGTTACCGTCCTGCTGTGCCCAGCTGTTGCCAGAACTGTCTGAGAAGAGGTCAGGCATTGACATTTAATGACACGCTGTGGGACGGAGCAGTAATTAATTAAAACACAATGATGTGATGTCGTTATAGCAAACAACTACAGTGTGTTTATACCCTGACAGATTAGCGTTTGAGTCGAAGAGGCAGGATTCTCGTGGCTTGCACTAAGATTTTTGGTCTGCACTCGACATGTCATGAATGTGACTGCGAGAGGAGGCACGATGCCGGAGGGAGCGTCAGGAGAAATCTGGTAAACTGCACACAGAGCAGGGCAGAGTCATGATCCGTGCTGTTTTTCTAGCTTTAAAGAGAGCACATTTAATCTAAGTCATTTTCATACTGCGTCCAAGATAAACCAGGAATACCACCTCCATGAGTGAGGACAGTGGTATTATGGGAACGCAGCGGTGAAGCCGATTCCTCATCCATCAAGACATCCAAGTCATTTATGCCGCTCTCGTGTCAGTAAGGTGATTATGAAGTTCCAGCCAGCCTCCGTTAGCTTAGGTTACATTAGGAGACTTTCTGGAGTCTCTGCTGGTTGCTTGGCAACTTCCCGATGATGACAAGACTCTAGGAAGCGGTAAATTGACAGCACTTAAATAGCACCTTTTTACCTCAGAGGTTTACAAAGCTATTTTTTTTGCCTCTTTTCCATCCATTTACACTCACACACTCTCCTGTCTGAGCTGCTCTCCTGCCACCTGAGACACTCCACCATCACACACAACCTCTGTTAAACCTTTATGTTTGCTTTTAGAAAACGTTTCAAATAGTGAGCTTCGGAGGCACAGTAGGAAGGTTTTGCTGCCTTCAGACAGGGTCAGGTGATCTAGTTTCTCTTTTTTTTCCAGCCTCTCTGCTAACTGGCTGCCTTATATTGACCATACAGACATGAGGGTGGTAGTCGTCATTTTTTGTCTTACTGTGAGAATAAGTGTCATGTCCCTCAGTGAACAACTTACTTCCTTAAACATGCATAATTCTTAAAAATAATAATAATAACTAAAATAAGCATTCTCAGTGGCAGCAGGCTGATGACTCATTAATCTTAACTGAATACATTAAACTGTTTATCCCTCTGGACCTAAAGCAGTTTCTGGGTGTTTTTTGTTTTTTTTTTCAATTTATACTGCAGTGAAAAATGAACTCACAGCAAGTACAAAGTCCTGCACTTCTATGACAGCAGCATAATCATAGTTAGAAGTAGCGAGAACTTGAAAATGTATTTTGTGCAGTATACCAAAGTTAAAATATTCTAAATTAGAATCATAAAAAGTTTAATTTCTTTGATTATTTTACAAAAATTGGGGAGAATTTTTTTTTAAAAAGTAGGTACGATAGGGGGCTGCAGGGTGGCGCAGTTGGTTAGCACTGCAAGAAGGTTGCCGGTTCGCGTCCCGGTGGGGGAACCGGAATCTTTCTGCATGGAGTTTGCATGTTCTCCCCGTGTAATGTGGGTTCTCTCCAGGTTCTCCCACACAATCCAAAAACATGTTGAGGTTAATTGGTGGTTCTAAATTGTCCATGGGCGTGAGTGTGCTTGGTTGTCTGTCTCTCAGTGTAGCCCTGTGATAGACTGGTGACCTGTCCAGGGTGTCCCCTGCCTTCACCCTAAGTCAGCTGGGATAGACTCCAGTCCCCCACGACCCTAGTGAGGATAAAATGGTGTATAGACAACGGATGGATGAGAATTAAGACCCATCTGAATAGTTGCATTTAAGATTCATGGTACACTATATACTCAGTGGTCACTTTGTTAGACAGTGAAATTAAATGTGAACGTTCATGAGTAAGTCTACTTTGCGGAATATAATGTGTCATGATAATATCTTATTATACACGTATACATTTCATGATATGTTTTCACATTGAGGCTAAAGTTACGAACTGCTGAAAGGATTCTTCCAGGATCCTCCGCAGCTTCGTCGTCACAGCCATCTTGATGTCGTCCAGGTCTTCAAAATGGGTTCCCTTGATGACACTTTGAGCTTGGGGAAGAGGAACAAATCCCACAGAGCCATGTGGGGTGAGTAGGGAGGTTGCTCCAGCACGGCGATGTTCTTCTCAGCCAGGAACTGTGGGATGCTCAGGGCATTGTGAGCAGGCACGTTGTCATGGTGAAGCAGCCACGACTTGTCCTGCCACAACTCTCACCTCTTCTGGAGCACTGAATGAAGCAAACTCTGCAGGATCTCTTTGTAGACATGCTGAGTCATTGTCTGAAGGGGAAACCCCCTAGTTTGTAGTTTGGGTTTGATATATTTCCTTTGTGACACCANGTCTGAAGGGGAAACCCCCTAGTTTGTAGTTTGGGTTTGATATATTTCCTTTGTGACACCAGTCCTGGAACTTTTCTGTCACACCTCGTACTGCCCATGTTAACATTGTTATGGACCAATCACACCACACCCATGGTAACAGCATCCGATTCCTCCAGCAGGACAATTTGCCCCACTTCACTCTAAAAACTTGAGTAACACGACCAAGAGCCCTAGGTCTTGGCTCGTTTCCATCCTCCAATGGGTCAGAGCTGTTCTGGCGGCAGGAGTGTGGTTTTTATTGTGTGGTTAGTCAGTGCATGTTGCTCTGCGGACAGCAAATCCCTTTGGCTGCTGTGTTACTCATGTTTCGTCCAAGCGGTTTTCATACTCAGTAAACCTGCTCATCTCCCCGGTCCTCTCAGTCCATCAGTGTGAGTGTGTGATAGCTGACATGTCACTGCCCTCCCGCCACCCGAGTTCCCTCTCCATACCAGCTGCTAGAGCACCAACTAGAGAATTTCCTACACACCGGTGATAATCTAATGAGCTGAACTGGGTGAACAGAGTCAAACAGCAGATGGATCAGTTTAGAGTCTACATCTTGTGACTCAGGAAGGAGGTGATGTCTGTGCTATCTCACACACACAGAGGCAGTTTTGCACAAACTTTTACAATCGCCCCCTGTGGGCCCGACAGTTTCTCACTTGACCTCCGATGCACATACACTGACATTTTTGTGTAGAATTCATCCTTGAGGTATATGGAGGTAGTACAGTTGTCCTCTCTCGAGCGTGTGTATTCCAGATTTTTCTTGTGAGTACCCACCAACCTATAATTCAGTGGCGGGCCGTGCATTTTACTCCGAGGCCTTCAGTGGCATCCTGCCTGAACCAAACCACCTGTTGACATCTTCATTATGATGCCACGGCTATAGAAACTGTAGCTTTGGCTAAGATCTCTGACCATCCAATCAGAGGACGTGATAGTGCTGACTTCATCGTAGGCCAGCTAGCTGGCCCTGGGACCACCAACTCTCAATCTGATTGGTTAAAGCAGCAGTTTCATTGCAATGCTTTTTAAGCTACACTTTTGATTCTGAAGGCCTCAGGGCAGATTTCTGCGACCCTGGCAACACATGATGGCTGAAATATGATTGGATTATAGCTCTGATATAAGCATAGACTGCTGGAAGCACCACAGCCCAGAGACACGCTATGAAATGAAGAGAATAGACTACTGGGAATAAAGTTGAAAGATTCATGGGAAAATATTACAACGTAAATCAGGGATTCTGACAGAGTTTAGGCCAGCAGAGAAGGCCTTGCTGGCCCTCACAGCATACCACTGCTATAATTATTACTGTATGTATATATTTTTTTAATAAACGATTGTGGTGAATTTAAATGATGTCCTGTGTCGAAACTTTAAAATGTATCAAGATGCACCAGATTGTAATCTTACACTGTCATTAACAATCTAAAACTAAAATGCTGAAGGTCAGGGGCAGAACAGGAGATGTGGAATAAAATGTGATGTTAGAAATGTGTCTCAGTCAACTGAGGAAGTGGAGGCAGAAACAGAGGATGGAGCACAATGTCTCCATATTGCCTTTCAGCAAACAATCTCTGCAAAAGGCTTGAGTGAATGTAACCGGACCTTGGAGGTGTAAATATACAGACAGCTTAAAATACCTGATGTATACGTATTGGATTCAGCTTTGCAAGAGGATGAAGCACTTGGAGGATCTTCCTGTTTCCTGCAGTTAATGCAGCTCATTTCTTGTTTGTTTTTGCAGTGCGATCACTACAGGAGGGGCATAATATCGGGCTCGTCCTGTAAGGCATTGTGTGATCAGAGAAGTCTGACCCTGCAGCGCTGCATGTCCACCTCCTCTACACATCAGGTAAAATAAACTCATGCACACAAAGGAACCTTTGAATGAAAAGGAACACTTCCAAACATCTTACCATGAAGCATCTGGAAAAGTATTTTGCCCAAGTACGGCACAACTAGATCAGCATGTGACTCTAAAACCTCATTTCAACATTACACTTTTATTTAATTCTGGGAAGCTGTCAAAAAAAAAATGAGGGCCTTATCAATTTACTGCCTTTTTTCCCACAGAACAAGAATGGGGTTTATCCAACATTCAGTGTGTTAAATAGCTACAAATGCAGTAAAAATACTGGATTTGTTTTTTTGCCATCTGAAAGTAGTTTTAAGAAGTGCATTTGCAGCAGGGAAATGGTTGTAAAAAACTAACATGTTGACTGTTAACAGCTCCGTTTCAACTTAATATTAAGGTGTAACATATGTATAAACAAAACAAAACAAAAAAAACAGGCCTTTAACGTCTCTATTGTCATATGTTTATATTTGCAGGTGTACATCGGGTTATGGAAGGAGAGGCCTGTTGTGATCAAGTGCGGCATTGAGGATCTGGTGAAAATTGATGGAGCTCCAGACTCTGTGCTGCGACAGGAGATGACTTTATTTGACAAACCCACTCGTGGGACCTCTATGGATGAATTTAAAGAGATGCTGCACAGTTTCCTCAAGGTTTGGAACAACTATTACTATATAATTAAAAACTGAACACACACATATTCGGAAATTGTGTTTAATTGTGTGTTAAAATTAGCTTGACTGTAGAGATGTAATGTGAATGTCTTCTTCCTGCAGGCCAACCTCGGCGAGCAGCCCTCCTTGAACACCTTAGTGGACAGAGTCATTACTCTGGCTGACGTCAACCAGGATGGCAAAGTGTCTCTAGCGGAGGCCAAGTCTATCTGGGCTCTGCTCCAGATCAACGAGTTCCTCCTGATGGTGGCGCTGCAGGAGAAAGAGCACACTCCCAAGCTGCTGGGCTTCTGTGGAGACCTGTATGTGACGGAACGCGTGGGCCACAGCTCCCTCTACAGGCTGCAGGTGCCTCATTACCTGCAGGCTCTCGTCCCGGAGGCCTTGAGCTCCAGCCTGAACCACTGGCTGGCCCCAGCCTGGCCCCGCAGGGCTCGCATCACCATCGGCCTGCTGGAGTTCGTGGAGGAGGTTTTCCACGGATCTTACGGGAGTTTCCTGATATGCGACGCCAATCCTCACCACGTGGGCTACAATGCAAAGTACGACTGCAAGATGGCCAACCTGCGCAGCGTGGCGTCGGAGGCCGTCGTGCGGGGGTTTCTCAAGGGACGGCGGTGTGAGACCAACGCAGACTGCACCTACGGCCGGGACTGCACGGCCACGTGTGATCGGCTGGTGAAGCAGTGCAATACTGAGGTTGTGCAGCCCAATCTGGCAAAAGTGTGTGTGCTGTTGCAGGATTTTCTGCTTTTTGGAGCACCTTCAGACCTCCGCGGGGATCTGGAAAAGCAGCTGCGCACCTGTGTGACACTCAGCGGTTTGGCTAGTCAAATGGAAGTTCACCACTCACTAGTCCTTAACAACTTGAAGACGTTACTGTGGAAGAAAATCTCCAACACTCAGTACTCCTGAAAACAAGCTGAGATGACCTAACCTCCTCCTCTACCATATGAGTGAATTATTACATGAACATGGGCAATTTTTACTTAGAGAGTTGTGGTGATTCATACGTTTCCACTCTTCACTGGCTGTGAACAACAAGAAAACTGTGAACTGTTGCATATACAATGTGAAACAGGAGATCAAGCAGGCTTAAAACTCTTAAAATGCCGTTATAAGCCCCGTCACGCTTTTGTTTTTCAATGCTTTGTTTTGACAAGGACATCCATCTGTTTGCACATAATATTCTCAGGACACTGCCTATAACTTTATTTGTAAAGTTACGTATGTAAATAATTAGTTTTTAAAGTAAAGCAACTGACATATTGGATTATTTTGGGTTTCATAGGATACTTCTTGTCTGTCCCCAGTAGAGACACTGTGATGGGGTGTGGTAGTTTTTGTACAACTGTAAATACTAGTAGAACATTGCTGTTTTGTTTGTAATTAATTGTATTAATTCGCATCAGAAGCAGAGATGATATATAACAATAGATGGAATAAAAACAATAACACGGAAATGCCCCTGCTGCTATTGATCTGATGATGATAATGTATTCAGAATGAACTGGAGATGTATAGCCACAACACCTGATTAAACCTGAATGAACTTCTCATCTGTGGTTCAGAGCATTCATTTTCAGGACATTGTGATAAAATTGCATTAATCTAAATAAGGGAAGTAATCCCAAATTTTCATAAAACAAAACGCATGTCAGTTATTGTAGGACACTAAAATACAGAAACTATCGAGAAGAAAATCCCAGACAGAGAAGATACGAAGGGTCAGAGCAGACACTGTTCACTCACTCATTGAATCAGGAGATCATGTACATTAGTTGCCCCACACTATTGCGGTAACTGTTGATCGTAGCAACACCCGTGTCAGAAGATTTGTTGGTTGATCTTCTGAATCTCTGACATGCTCTCTGGAATTTGTGTCACTTGTCCTGATCTGAAGCTGTGGTTTGCTCCTTTGCAGGCGTTACATTCACAATTTGGTTTGACAATGTAACATAAATATGGCATGTTTGGCTTTCTTACTTATTCAAGTACATTTGAAAAGGAGTTGGCGTACCCATCCATCCTTGTACTTACCTAGGGTTGTAGTGAGTCGGTACCAGGCTAAGCAGGGCATAGAATGTATCTGTGATTGCCTTGTTTCAGTTACTACCCAGAGCTCATGACCGAAAGGTGAGAGGCTCGAATGAAGACCAAATTGTTATTCATTTCAACACCACACCAGTCTGATATAACATCTGCATTGCTGTTGCACCAATCAATGAAACAGTTAAGCTCTTTTTCTTGGGGTAGTAATTGACTCCCAACCCACTCTTCCAACAGAGAACCAAGGCCTCAGACTTGGAGGTGATGACTCTCATCCCAGCTGCTGCACAATCAGCATTAAACCCTAGTTTGTGTTAAAGGTCACAGCCTGACGATGGAACCACGTCATCTGCAAAACGCAGAGGGTCAACTGTGAGGTTCTCAAACCGAACTAGACAAGCCAGGGGGAGGCACAATATTATCTAAATTCCACTGGAGGAGAGACTTGATGTTCCTAGCAATTAGGTGACAAGCATATGTGCATATGTCAGTAATCAGCCAAAATGACAGGGAAAATATTGGCATTTAGGATCTCTGCAACAATTATGCTGTTGTGCATCCATAGCCAGAATACAAGTTTTGCGCACATCTCAGTTTCATAGATGCATGAGTGAAGCCACAGAATGTATTTTGGAGGATGGGTCAAAGTCCAGGTGTGAGCTGCTGCAATCTCAGATGCTTCTCTGGAAGTTGAAAAGGTTGCAGATGACATTGCTTACTTATTTGTGAATAAGGTTAAGTGATTAAAAGAAGAACTCAAACAAGAAGTGCAAACTGCTTTTGGAAGGTGCAGTTCTTACCAATGGGCTTCTAAAGCAGTAACGCTTTACAGAGTGGTGCAGGTGAAAATTCTACAGAGTCAGAGTTGAAAACAGAGTGTCTGGGCAGACACTCATGGTAAGTGTTGAAGGGTGAAAAACGAAAAGCTTTGTGTGTTTCAGGGGTTTCTAAATGTTTTCCGTGATAAAGTGGTGGTATTCACAATGTACTGATCTCTACAGGGACATCAAAGATGGAGGGCGACCTACACAAAATGCATGTTCGACTGTTGTTTCTTAAGTCTAATGAGCTGGTGGTAAACACTCTGACAACCACAGTGAAAATATTCACTGGCAACACCCGAACACACCACCAGGAGTCACTGTAGTTGACAAGACAGAACACTGTCTTAATGCTACTGAGGTGAAATGAATGAGAAGGAAAATTCAAGTTTTTTCTTGTTCTGCCTTGCTGCCTTTACTTATACTGATATGAAACATTTACAGTTCTTATGTCTCTTTGGTCATAACAGTTTGCTGGGGGAAAAAACAATGTACTTACAAGGTTATGGGAAACTAAGTTACATCTAAATTCTGTATGAAAAAAAAACAACATAAAAATACAAAGACAATAATACAGTGTTTCCATGGAATATTTTTCTGACTTCATTATTCTAACACAACTGGCAAGAGGAAAATGAGCCGAGTCAGTGATCTTTGGTCCTCTTGTAGGCTTACTGTGCGCTTCACAAAGAATACAAAACACCCAAGCCTGTCCCCAGGGCAAATAACTACGACCATCTTGTGTCCTAAACATTTTAAACATGACTTTTTATAAAGAAAGTCATATGATGCACATGGGCCTCATAAAACCATCCTATCAAAGCTGTTCTGGAGTGTTCACACATGGAATTGTCTCATAAAAATTATTTTCAAGTTAATTATTTATATTTTTCCTCATGTAATTACTTGGTTCAGATGGCATAAATTGTTATACGCTTGATTATATTTCTCTGATAGCGTAAATTAGGAAAAGTAGCTGTTGTGTTTTCAGATGAATTTGTATTTGAGGGTTGCATTAAAGCCACTGATTTAAAAAAAATAAAAAAAGAAGAAGCACAAGTCTCACAGCCACCTGGATCATGCCTTATCAAGACAATTACCATCTGAAAAGTGTAAGGCCACAGCAGCTAACATCCTGAACTCATGTCAACTCCTAGTGATAAGGCTGCATGCTGGGCCTGACTGGTCTCAATCCCTTGCTTGCTGGAAACCTCCCTTTTTTACCTTCACCAAGGAGGTTATGTTTTAGCTGGCATTTGTTTGTTTGTTTGCTAGCAAGAATAACTCGAAAAATTACGAACGGATTTTCATGAAATTTGCAGGAAATGTTGATTATTGCGCTGCAAGGTGGCGCAGTTGGTAGCACTGTTGCCTCGCAGCAAGAAGGTTGCCGGTTCGCGTCCCAGTGGGGGCACCGGAATCTTTCTGTGTGGAGTTTGCATGTTCTCTGGCTTCCTCCGACACAGTCCAAAAACATGTTGAGGTTAATTGGTGATTCTAAATTGTCTGTAGGTGTGAGTGTGCTTGGTTGTCTGTCTCTAAGTGTGGCCCTGCAATGGACTGGCAACCTAAGTCAGCTGGGATAGGCTCCAGAGGTTATTTTCTCATAAAGCAGTAAATGCTGTTAACTGTCACAGTCACGTAGAATGTTGTTGTTGCACCCTTTTTTCCACTAGGTGGAGCTCTGACTCCATTCAATCCTTCAGTCCTCACCGCTGTCTTCTCAGTAGTACAGGAGGAAGCTACAGCCAGGCAGCATTGCAGGAGTGGGCTGAGCGGAGCTACTGACAGATAAGATCATAATGACATTGTGACATTAACAATGACTCAACATGTCTCCTGTTTCACTTTAACTCTCTTTGCCATGTGTCATGATAGCTGACGCGTGCTTCATTGCGTCACTCATGCTTTTCATTTACGTTGCATTGCATTGCTAAAGTTGTGCTAACCTAGCTTAAGCTACTCCCTGTCGGTATATGTTAGCAATAACATCGCTGTAGTTGTGCCAACCTAGTTGTTGCAAATTCCCTGCTGGCAATAGGGAAATGGCTGCCTTGATTCACCAACTCAAGACAGGTGTGTTTTGAAGGGCTGGTGCATCGAAGCCTGCCTTGATTGCCAACTCAACACAGGTGTGATAAAAAGGGCTGGTTACACACACTTGAAGCTGGTCTGCAAGCTGTGAACACCTCTCCACACATTCGAAGCTGGCTGTGAACACCTCTTCACCAAAATCCATGCGTGACTAATCAGTAAGATGATTTCTGCTTTATTTCTGGGGAGTTTAATTATTGGTTGATGTCTATTGTTATACTTCCTTCTGTTGATTAGTTACTAGTTTTGTGTTTGGGTTATTGTTTATTTATTCAGAAAAACCATGGATTATGAAGGGGTGAATAAATATTACAAATCAAACCTCCAGTGACTGTGTCTCTTTGGCTGGAGAGGTTATAGTGGTCAGCTTTCACCATTTTAAGTCGACAGTCAAGAGATATCTTTAATACTAGTATAGCGTTAGCTAACAGTTTAAAAGCCAGTCGGTAACTGCGGAAATAACATAAGTGCACAAACTATTTGAGAGTACAGAACGACCGTTCATCACTCCGTCAGCTTGTTACTAATGAATCAATGTTAATTCAAACGCTAAAGGTATGTTTTGATTCTCCATGAATCTAATAGTGTAGACAAAATGAATGCAGGACGAACATTGGCTGGAACTTACAATACGGGTGGAAATGAGCTGCTTGGTGGAGGTCTGCGCTCTACGAGTGCTTTTCTAGTTTTGAAATATAATACTTTGTCAATATTTTGAAAACACACATTTTTTGAGCTTTTCAGAAAGATGGTGCTATATCATGTGTATTTGGGTGATTCGAGAATTAGGGGTACATTTCAAGTCCATGGAGTGTATTTGTCAATTTTACCAAATATTATTTGTCATTATTTCAAACAATGACCAATTTTATATACCGCAGAGACTGTTGATGTTTTTAAAAGAAGGCTCAAGACATACCTTTTTAGTTTAGCTTTTAACTGATTCGTTTACTTTCTTAATTTAGGCCTGGCTTTTAACTCTT